TTCTGAGTTTGTGGAAATCATCTCCATCTTACATTACACAAAGGAGAGTACTACATTTAAATGCTGCAGGCTGGAGCTCCAGCAGCCATTCAGCAGTCTTTCTGTGTGTTTAACAAAAAATACCAGTCACTAAATCCTATCTACTTGACTGCATAGGAGAAGATGTCCAAATTTGAAATAAATCAGTTTGTACAACTCTGATTCAGCTATAATCATATTGATATGCCTCTGTTTAGTTCAAATTTGTTTTCTGTTTCTGTTGTGTCTAAAATTGATTTTAGCCCTGACAGCAATTTCTATTTTCTTGTCAAGCTTTGTCCAGAATAAAAAAATTAAATTTCCACTCAGAGAAGAAAGGAACAATGAATCAATTTTTACAAACAGCCAAAAAGAAAAACAACCCTCAAAAGCAATCCAAGTTGTGGCTAATTTGACAATGGCATCTTGCCCATGATCTGTCCTTCCTGGCTATGCTCTTGCTCAGATCCACTGCTGTCTTTGTGATACTCAGCCCTGTAAGTTTCCGTTTAGTGTACCGGGGAAGAAAATTTGCCACTATTGCCCTTGTGTCCAGCAGCATGCCATTCCTAGATGTATCTACAAATAGACTTTGAACATTAATGAAATTGCTTTCTCACTGCATCCTATGAAAGAGGTGAAGCCTCTCCAGGATTTCCTTTAGAACCTGAGATGTCAGAGAAAGTGCGTTGGAGTCTGATTCGTGGCAAGACCAATAGGAAACATATTCTGGTTTTCAGAAATCAGATAAAAGGAAACCAAAACCTGAAAAAGAAAAGGAGGAAAAAGCAACAATCATTCAGAAGCAAGGAAAGATACATCCCATGATTCAGGAAGTCCCTAATCCAGACCAGACGTGGTATGATCTGTGGTGGGCTATGTTATTGCCAGACGCTGTTTTCAATGTGATTTATTTTAAAAGAATATTAGACTTGGCCATGAATCTTCCTTTGTTTGAATTGTTTTATCTGGAGGTTCTGGGTGACAGAAAGTGCACTGGAATGGGCTTTGCTCTTCTATGACAACAGACCCTTTTTCTTTCCACCATTTGTTGGACTCATCGCTATGAAATCAGGAGATAGTTCTACACCACTTGGCATAACATTCTGGCATTGAAAGAACTATGGTGACTGCACTCAAGAAAATGATCATCATTTAGATGGACAGGCCAGTTTTGGTGCTGATGACAACAGCCCTCCAACTGAAGGTGTTTTTTAGGAGTAATTCTTGCTCCTACAAGCTGAGGAGTGGCCATAAGCCCAGTCCACTAGAGGACCATTCCCTTATCCACTGAGGGGGAAGCCCTTGGTAATTTTCCACAGTAAAGATCCAGCTTTTGTTTCTGAAAGCTTCTGGGCACAGAGGAGGTCTTTTGCAACCATTCAGAAGTTTCTGCTGTTAGGGGAAGGGAAAATCCCAATTGCTTCTGAAAGGCAGGTGAGCTGGGAGTTTAAGTACCTGAATGCAGGCAGTGCCCTCACTCCTCACCATGGGGCACCATCCCACCGCCAGTGGGCTGAGGAGAATCTGTCAACAATCCAAGACAAAGAACACAATGAACCAGATCCATAGTCAAGTCATGCTTCTGCTCCAGCTGGGAGCAGAATTGACAAAGCAAGCGATGAATCCAAAATCCATCCAGGGCAGAACTGGCATAAGAACTAGAGATAGAGGAGCTGGCATCCTGAGGCAAAGTTGAAATGGTGTCCTGGGCCATGGAGCCCAGGGGTGACTGGGCAGGACCAGAAATCCTATTAGTGCGTGCTGGGTTCTGAAAAATGCCAACTGACTCTTCTTTCTTCAAACCAAACCAAACCAAACGTGAAGGTCACGTGAGTTCACTGCTGTGGTCAGGATGAACAGCAGTAGAAAAGATAACTCTCTTGTTAGATTATGATTTGGAATGATCTTTCTTCATAAGACAAGAGGTAATGGTCTTAAGTTGCACCAGGGGGAGGTTCAAGTTGGATATTAGGAAAAATTTCTTCTCAGGAAGGATGGTAATGCATTGGAACAGGCTGCTCAGGAAGGTGGCAGAGTCACTTATCCGGAGGTGCTCAAGAAAAGGGTAGATGTAGCACTAAGTGACGTGGTCTAGAGCTGTCACAGGCATGGGTTGATGGTTGGACTAGATGATCTTACTGGTCTTTACAATTCTCTAATTGATTCTGTTGCAATTCAGGAGTTAGATACATCTTTCCAAGGGTCTGCTCATCTTCCTCCTCTCGCACCTTCCTCTTCCTCTAAGGAGGCATTACTGGAGGTAATGTTTGGGAAGCTTGGCCTCACTGAGGCCTTGTGAGCTCATCTATTAAAGTAAAGAGAGAAGGAAGAGGTCCAGCATGTTTATGAGTTTATGAGAGCAACCTTTGATGAAAGATGCTTTGAAGAGCATAGCTATAATGAGGGGAAAAATCCTGCAACAGAAAGTTCAGTAGGGAAGAGATTTTTGTTTCATTCCAGCTGTGTCTTTCTTCCATTATCTGATCAGCTGAAACCCAACTCCTCTGAAGTGAATCTTTCCCACACAGTCTGGAAATCACTGGTCATCAATGCATGGCCATACATTTTGATCTTTCTTTTCCGGTAAACAGAGGAAGTTCAAAGTCTTCTCTTCAACTCCCCCACACTGCTGTAAGACCAGAAGCTCCAGTGCTATAAAAGAGTGAGGCAAGAACAGTTAGCTTTTGTTTATGAAGAGAAATAGAATAATGTAGATATAGTGAAATAAGTGTGTTTCTTGGCATAATACACTTTGTATGTAAAATTTCTTTCCCAGAATAAAAGTATTTTTACTGTGGACTCACCAGCTCTATACAAAATTTTTGTTCAGGAATAATCCCTCCATTCTGAATGCAGATAAACTGCTTATTGGGGAACAGTGTCTGCATAGTATGTGCACCAGCACAGCTGGGGAACTATGGGAACTCTCCTATCCTCTCCTCTTCAGACACTTTTCTCCATAAGCAAATCCTTTTAGAGTCTGGGGATGTGTGTTTGAGAAAGAAATAAGAGAATATTTTAAAATCAAAATTACCCAAACCTCAAATATTATAATCTCGTGAAAGTATAGTCTACTTCTATAAGATATGCAGCCCTCCAAACTACTCACTGCACTGTGAAGACCAGTAGAGGAGCAGTGGAGCTCCCGAGAACCTGATATTTCATGAGCATCCGAATGCGTGAACTCTTGATTTCCCACTGCTCTGTATCGTGCTTTAGCTACTGTGGTGCCAAAGAAGACAAAGATCCAGTTGAACCTTTCTCACTGATGTGACATATACAGGTAGATCTTCAGCTGTGTAACACCATGTGAACTCCTGATGCCTATCAGGGTGACCCTTACAGATTCACATCTAACTCACTGATGTCCCAATTTCAGACAAAGTGGAGGTTTCAATACAAATCAGTATTTGCATAGAATACCAATCTTGAAGCTACCACCACTTAGGATGACCAGGAATGGCCCATCTCAAGCTGTGGTACCCATTCAGAAAACTTTGGAAGTTAGGCTGGCAAAAGCTGGTTGGCCTTTAATAAAACCCACATATCTCTTCCAGCCTAGTCTGGAAAGCAAATAAAGTGGGGGGAAATTAACAAAGTAAATGAACATTTGAAGTTTAACCTAATTTTTAGTTGGTTTTAATTGAAGAGACAGTGGCAATACTGCCCAATCTCTTTCTTGGATGGCTTTCAAAATAATTAGGAGGTCTTTAAATTAAAAAAAAAAAAAAAAAAAAGACCGGGGAGCAGCTGAGAATTGCTGTGCTGGAAAGCCTTCATCCCAGCAGAGAAATGTGCAACACTGGAGGCAGAAACTCAGAGCCATAGGGAGAACTGAAGCTTGAGCAACACAATGCAGAGGGCAAAGTGACAGAGGAACCATTATGAAACCCAGGTAAAAGGAGAGACCTTGAAAAGGAGAGCAGCTTTGTAATCCCCCCTACCCAAAATACAGAGGAGCAGCACTGAACGAGAGAGACAGACTTCTTCACATAATCAGGCATGATAAAGGACTTCCCATTAAAAAGCAATAAAGAACAATTAAGCCCTATGGGAAGGCGGAAGAAGCAGTAGGAACAGCAGAAGCCTCGATGGCAGGCAGCTGCCCCATGGAGACGTGGCGATAAAAGCAAGAGCCCATCCTGCAGGGGATCCTGCCCACCTGGGCACCGCAACCTCTGCCGGGGGGCATCACCCTACAGCAAGCCACAGCGCGGACAAGCCGGGGCTGTCAGCCACACGCAATGTGCTGGGTGTTGGTTCTCCGTGGGACTGGGGAGAGGTAGCAGCAGCGTGTGTGTGTGTATCTCGCGAAGGCTCTGTGTTTCTGCTGGGGGGGGAGGGGAGCAGCGTGCATCCCTAGTTGGGCAGGAGATGGGGCTTCGCGTGCGCATCCCCGGCCGGCGGTTAGTGCAGGGCTCTGCGTGTGCACGTGGATGTGCGTTGCAAACACACCACCTGCCCAGGAGCTGCCGCGAGCCGTGCGCGCTCTGCTCCCCTCACCCGTGCCGTACGGAGGGGGTGTGCGAGTCGCCGGGCGGGGGGGAAGGGAGGGTCGGAAGGGTCCGGGATCTCCCCGCGTGCTCCGGCCGGGAGCGGCCGTGCCCCCCCGCCTCACCGCCGCCGCGCACAGCCGCAGACACGGGCGGCCGCCGGCAGCTCGCATGCAGCCGGGGATTACAGCGGGGCGAGGGCAGCGCGGGCTCGGCTTTTCTCGCCCCCCCGCCCTGCTTCCCTCCCGCTCCCCCCGCTCCGCCCGTCGGCCCCAGCAGCTCGCCGCGCCGCTCGCTCGGAGGCTTCGCGTCTCCGGGGGGTAGGAGGGAGATGCCTTCGCCGTGGTTTTTCCAACCCCAGCCCTCTCCGTGCCGGGGGGGGCGGTGATGTGGAGCCGAGAATGTAGAGCAAAGCCCTCCCCGGGAAGGAGCGACCAAAACAAACGTCTCGCCGTGGCTTTGGCGGCCGCGCAGTGCCCGGGGAAGCCCGAGCAGCCCCTGCCAGCACTGGGGAATCCCTCCTCCAGCCCCCGGCGGTGCCCCGGGCGCCCGCGGAGCAAGGTAAGCGGCAGGGCATCCCTCCTCCCGCCGAGGGCTGCGTTTTGCTTGTATTCTTTTGCATTTTTTTTATTTTTTCGATTTTTTTTTTTTTTTTTTTTTTAAGAACCCGAGTCATCCACGCCTCCCGAACAGCTGCGAGTTGCGAGGGAGGCGAGCGCTGCCCCCACGGGATGCGTTCCCCCGGGCCGGGGGAAGTGCGGGGAGCCCCGGGGAGCCCCGGGCTGCGGAGCGGGGGGAGCTCGGCGGGGCCGCTCCAGAGCGCGGGTTCTCCCCGGCCGCTCGGGTCAGAGAGAGGATAACGTAGTCCTCACTCTGGAGCGCTTTGGAAAGCCTGCCTTGTGTTTTTGTTCCTTCGGCGCTGTTAAAGCAGTGGGAAATGGCATATCGTAGTATTCTGCCTCCTGCCGTGGGTGAGCTTTAAAGATAAAAGGCTCGTCGTTTGTTTCCAATGCTCTGGTGGAGCCGGGGAACCTGATGATAGAAACCCTCGGTGTTCTCAATGGATGGCTGTCATCTGAATTAACCCAAGTGCCGGGTGATTGAAAATCCCCTCTCCCAAAGCTGGAAATACCGGAGCACTGTGCTTGTCTAAAATATACCGCCATACATCCTCTCCATAGATACATCGCATGCTGTCATGGCTTTAAACACCCCAGCATCTTTATAACTGGGCATGTTCGCCGCATGGCTCCTTCAAACCATTCAGTCTACCAGCATTTCAGTGGCTGTGTGAAGGTGGACTGTTGTATATCCCCAATGTATGGGCCACATTCATAGTTGGACTTCATTCAATTACATAATGATTAAGATATAAATAAGCAGTGTATGTGCAGTTTCTTGGACATTTTCATTCATCGCAGCTAAGGCCATCTATATAGGATTGCTGCCAAAATTGTCACTTTTTAAATGTTTGGATGAAAAAGGAAATGTCAGTAGCATCAGGTGGAGGCAACAGTCCTAAGCAAACACACAGGCAGGCAAACCTTGCTGCTTAAAGGACACCTAAGAGAAAGATCTTAGTGACCCCTAAGGTCCTGTAGCCCTGAATAGGCTGCTTTGGGAGAGAAAGACAAGCAGCAATGCTGGACAGGTTGGGGAGAGAGAAAAGCCTTATCTGCTGATATTTGGTTTTAAAAACAATAAGCTTGCTCAGCTGGCATGTTGTATCCAAGTTCAGGCAGAGCCTCAGGGCTGGGCTAGGTGTGAGGAGCTCAGAGTCTGACCTAGCTCAGTGCAGCCTTGTGCCAGGAAGTTGGTAGCGCTGCTTGGAGGTCTGCTTGTCTGCCATCACCCGAGGTGTGCTGTTAGAGCTCTGGAAGTCTTTGCCAGGGAGAGGAGATGCAGCACACGCAGAAAGTTTGTTGTGGGTCCTTAGTGCTGCTTCCTTTCATTCAAACAATTCCTGATGCACAGACCCCTAGCTCAGCCTTACTGCAACTTGCAGCTGCCTTTTTTCATATGGTGCTTCCACATGGAGCCCTCACCACAGCATGCACAGTGCTGTAACCTCCTTTCTCATCTGGACATTGTCACGAAGCTCAGCAGGGTGGCCTCATTCAGACACACACAGGCAGGAAAAGTGAAAATAACTCCAGCTCAAGATGAAGGAGAAGCAATGTTTGGAGCAGCATGCTTCTTTCTTAGCATCCCCATTGGCTTCAGCATTTTGAAAGGCACTGTTGCCATAAGGATGCCACATCAGATGTACTTATTTATTCATGCTCAGCCTTTTTTCCAAAGTGCAAGTTAATTGGCAAATTCTGGCTTGCCATTCAAGGCAAGGCGAGGAGTGGAGATTTGCAACAGCTTTCCTTTCAACGTTTGGGATTTTGCCATCAGCTTGCTACTGGGACTTTTAGAAGGAAATCTTGATCTTATGTGACTTCTTTGGGCTTTGTGTCCGTACATGTGCAGGTAAACTGTTCTTCAAGGCTCCGCTATATTTAAAGCTACCTGCCGGAGGACACTGCAGCCAGCTCTGGGCTCCGCATGTTGTCCTTACGTAAGCAGTGCTGGGGAGGGGCTGCCTGCTCCCCAGGCTGAGGGGCTGGGGGAGAGGGGCTCAGTCAGCAGGCACAAGGTCTCTATGAAGCAGCAGCTGAGGGGCTGCAGTGCTGGAGGACCTGTCTGCAGACCCTTCCGGAGGGCTCTGCTGCCCGAGCACGGACCTGCTGCTCCCACAGGCAGCGTCGAGAGGGAAAGTCCAGAGCCAGAAAGGAAAGCACTGAAAGTTGCGAGCTATTCCAGCTCAGCTTTGTCTGGGCAGACATACAGACGTTCTAAGAATTATTATTTTTTGATATATATTTTGAGGGATTCTTGCATAGTACCTTCTAGGAATTTGATGTCTTGTATTTTGTAGTAAACCTTGGGGACATATGGTTTTAACTCACAGTTTAGCAAGTAGAAATGAATGTCTACTTCCTAACCATAATTTCAACTGTTAATCAAAATAAACTTTACGATTTTTAATTGTAGAGATCTCTTAAAGATGTACAGTAGTGTTTTGTTACACTGCGCAAACAAATTGCTTCACACATCAGAGCCTAACTTTATTCCTGTTGTAAGTGTAGTGTTCAGTAAATCCCAGAGTTACTCTTGCTATATGGAGAGGATTTGGAAGGAATTTCATTATTCTGACTTTTTCTTAAATGGTATATGGCTTTGGATATTACACTGTATGCTGTAATAAATAGACTGCTGTGGTGCTTGAATTCAATTCAAGTAGAATGTATCTATATTCAATTCTGTGATTAAATACTGTAAGAGAGCAGAGAATCTAAATTCTGGTCTTTTATTGATCAGAACTTGAAAGTTTTTTTTTATCTCGGGCAGTTCTAGATGTAATGATAGTCCCAGATAGCTTTGTAAGTCACTAAATGCCATGAAAGATTTAGCTATAGTATGCATCAGTCAAGATACTTAAAATCTATTCCGCTTAAAGCTGTCTGTATTCTCTGTTAAAGGTGGAAGTACAGCAAAGGCTATTCTGCTTTTTGTGCATCCTCAAGCTCATTACAGCACACAAAGGAACTTCAGTCTTACATTGACATCTTCCTAGAGTTAGAGTTCACTTATTTACTGAGCAATACATCATCACTTTCTTCCAAGGCTTGAGAGCTGGAGTGAACTAAGTAGTTGTATTGCTGCTTTTTTTCACCAGCACTAAAAATATGACGACATTAGCTGTGTAATCAGTAAATAATGAATATTATTTGGAATGCGTTTGTTCATGGATTATGGTGACCGCAAGAAACTGTAATGGAAAAGTCTTAGGCCATTAAAATCTGTGGGGTTTTTAATTTTCTTGTTTTTAATGCAGGAAATCTATATTTAACCATAATGGCAGATCAGCTCTGACTCAGGTGTCTGGCTTGTATATGTTGTAGTTCCCCCTCTGGATGACTGTGAAGAGGAGTAGTAACATCACTGCTGGCAGCAGCAAGAATTAGAACCAACAGTCTATCTGATAATAAATAATATATGTCACACTGGCATAATGCAGCTCCGAGTATTAAGAATAGGCTGTGATAAGCAGCACTTACCATCTTTACAAGGCGCAGTGGCTATCTACCATTTTGCCTCACGTAATACCATGATAGTAGGATCACAGTATATTGTGAAATTGTGCAAGGGCAAATGCAGTTGGAGTCTAAATGAAGGTGCCAAACAGATCTGTTATCCCATGTGACGCAGGAGGATCCTCAGTGCTGGTCTCCCCCAGAAATCACGCTCTTACAAGATATTCTTTGTGCTGCTATTATATGTGGTTATTACCTATTAGGAAATAAGCATCAGCTCTTCAGGTAAAACTGTGTAACAAGGGAGTGAATGCAAAGCTGTACTGATAATTAACTGAACAAAGCTGAAACATAATCTTCTTTGATGACACTGGAGATGAGCTTCTCTCCCTGATTGCCTAACAAGTTAAGAAAGGGAAATCAATTATGGCAGTACAGTCCAAATACATTTACCTCAGAACATTAATAAGACATCTCAAGGCAGTTCGTAAAAGTTTTTCCCAGCATCTGATCAATTGTTAACTTTTAGCTATATTTTAAATACATAAGCAAGCTTAACAACTCAAATTGAGTCCACAGCGCTGCTTTTCACAGAGGTTTCAGTGGTGTCTTGCCTTCTTAAAGTGTGAGGTTTTGGTTCATCTGTGGAAGTTTATGAGCTTGTCTCAGCTGGCTGTACTCAGATGACTGACGAATCCTACCTTAAATTACTGCCATACGTTCAGTGTGAATTTGAATGTATCAGAGAGATCGTGGGACAGTTTGAGCAGAAAGTGTTGGCAGGCTGCAGCAGCTGGAAAAATCCCGCTAGTGCATTTAAGCAGATGCAAAACAGTGAACTGGACTAATTGGCCTTGAAATAACAAAGCTACGAATGACACTATTGTACGTGCTCTTCCAGTGGTTGCTGCGATTAACAGCACACAAAGTTGATCTTCCTTGACAGTAGTGCCATCTAGAAAGTCTCGCTTTCTAGAATGTTTCCATTTCGTGCTTTTTCTGCTCTCATTCTTACTGACATAGAGCAAACTTCTTCAGTGGGTAGGCCTTGTGATTGGATTTTGTACTTAGGACAAGCCTGCCTACCTGTAGCTAGTCACTTCAACGCCCATTTAAGCAATTTGTTAAAGCAGCTGCAGTAGTGCTCAGAATCTTCTGCTCCCCTTGGAGTAAAGAAGGGATGAGATTGTTTGGCTGCTGATCTCCTTGCTGAACCAAAGATGTCTGGCTTTTGTTCAGTAGTTTTGTGGTTAGACGACTTACATAGAAGTGGGAAAATGAACTCTTATACCTTTCTCAGGTTAACATGTATTCGCCTCTCTTAATGTGAGATTCCCTCCAGGCAAAGGGTTGCTTATACTCTGCAGCTATGGATCCCTTTCTAATGCACCTCACTGGGAGGGTGTTTTCTGTCCACACTGCCATCCTGGGTCTTACTGGTAGCAGCAGTAGCCTATGACATATGAACCAGACAATTAG